TAATGTAAATTGTTAAAATGACTAGTTAAAATAAATTAGTGAAGAATAAAGAATTGTATGAGCATACCATGTTGCAAGGATACAAGCTTCCTTTGTTTCTGGGTCCATGTTCGGTGGTGCCTTCCCTGGGGACCCCCATAATTTGATTTATATTAGAAAATATTATGGGGACAAAGTGTTAAAAAAAATAAAAATGTCAATCAATTCTGTTTTTGCATCAATTGGAAATAATTGAAAAACTCAATGGATCATACAGCAATATCTGAAATTTGATTTTCACTCATAGGGACATTAATAATGAAGAAGAGGGTTTTATATATAAATATTTTATAATGAAACTTAATGAGAGAAAATTGAGTGGAAGAAAATTTATCATTATTGTAAAGAAAATTTTTAATTGAGAGAGAAAAATTCCAAACACGTATAAGAGGAATTAAGGTTCATAAGAAGCACTAAAATAGAACGATTATGCTACGTAGCTCGAAATTTTCGAGCTCGAATTTGGCTCGAAATTAAAACGACGTTGTTTTGGAATGGTAGTTTCATTTTACGAGAGGGATATTTAATGAAAATTATCTTACCGGTAAGACAATTTTCATATATCTTACCGGTAAGAGAATTCAAAACGACATCGTTTTGGATTTCGAGCCAATTCGAGCAACTATTTTCGAGCTACCAAACATTTTCTAAAATCGAATTTGAGTGGTAGTTTGAATGGGAAAAGTGTAAACAAAAATTTTCCTTTTTGCGTGGTCACCACGTGAACGCTTGTCCATTTTTAAACAATGAGTGATGGAAAGAATATATTAAAACAACATATTTGAGAATTTAATTATTACAATTAGAATATAAGAGGGTGAAAAGCATATTTTACCCCTTGTTAAATTAACATCTATTCTTTTAAAAACAGCGACAACAACAACTTTGCAATCAGCATGGAGTACCTTGGTCAACTTGGTCAAGACTAGATTTCTCAGGTTCACTCTTCTCTGCAGCACAAAACCCAAAACAAAAAATAAGAAAAAAGAAAGAAAAAAGAGAGACAAAGAATAGGGAGAAGCGTGAGATGCATGGGGTACCTGTAGCAGGGGTACCCTTAGCAGGGTCAGGGTTATCACTCTTGAAGTTACTCATCTTTGCCACACAATCCAAAACAAAGAAGAAGAAATAGAGAACTGATTGATTATTGAAAGATTGGGGCTTAGTAGAGTACTAAGGTAGGATGTGTTTGAGTCTTTTTATATACCTCAAGGAAGTTTGGCGTACTTTGGAGGAAAGGGAAGCGAGAGAGCAAGTGCTCCAAGAATAAAGGTGATCTCAAGGCATAATGCACATTTTCTAATAGATTGAGATAGTGACGTATGTTTGGGTCACCATTCTCATATCATCTTATATGATGTCTTCGAATCAATAAAAGTGACTTGATGAAATGATTAGATAATGTGAGAAAGTCACTTCTATTTATTTTCTTTTACTCAATCTCATTTAACACAAATATTATATATATCATATATTACATTAACACTTTGAAATTAGAGTTATTAAATGAACCAAGCTATTGGAACTCAATTTGTGTTTGATTATTTAAAAACTTGTTCGAAATCAACTCGATATGTAAATTAGTCAAGTTAAAAGTTCATTCAATTTTCAAATCAAATTTGAACAACCTGCTACTCAACTCGATAAATTTACATACAGTTAAAATATCAAACTATTCAAACTCGATTGGTATTTAGCTCATTAAAGACTCAATTAAAATCAACTTGTTATATAACTACAAGTCATTTCCAGCCCTGTCCAAAACAGAGCACTACTTTCACTTGTCTGTGCCAAAATGATTAATTAAAAGAATTAAAATATTAGGTTCTGGAAATTGGTTAGTTCTAGAGACAACTAGCTAGAGCTTTGTTATGTTACAACTTATGTGGAAGAAGTGGGGATATATTCCACACACAACACTGCATTGGTTCAAATTGGAATTTTCTTTTGGAAACTAGTAATAATATATAATATAATATTGTTATGTTCTTTAAGAATAGTATCGAACTGTACTAGTGATTAACAGATGAGCAAACCAACCCCACCATCTTGTTCCTCCCTCAAAATTGTGCATAACCCTATACACATTTTTGTTTGGACTGGATTAGATAATATTAACATTTTTATAATTGTTAATCTTAAATTATCAGTTTCTTTGAATTGTGTACCATAATGATCTAAAATTATGATGAGAGATTGACAAAAATCTATCAATTTTCTAATTTAGCCATTTACTCTAAACTTCTTCTTAAATCTCTTACTTTGTAAAAATTTTAAATATTTTATGGTTGATATTCATTTCAAATGTAGTTCTTGTTATATAAAAATTGTACTTGGACAATATATTATTTTTTCGAGATAAATTTCTTTACAAATTTTCTAGGTTCCTTTATTCCCTTAAGAGGCAATAATCCCTTGTATAGAGATACGTACCCAAGTAAACTATTAGTCTGAATCCTAATTTTTTATAATTAAATATTAAATTATATATTTTATCAGATTATTAAACAAATCACTAAGTAATCTCTCTCGAAGAATCCAAAGATTAAAATAAATAAGATAGGTATGGAACTAGTGGCATTACTTTGACACAAAAGCAACACGTTTTTCCTGCCCGACACGCCACAATTGCTTTTGTTTATTTATGTAATAAAAATTAGGAGAAATTTTATATCAGTGTAAAATTTAAAAAATAATTAGTAAATTTTGTCAATATTAATAATTAAAATGGTAATTTTTTTCATATATATATAATAATTTTCTCAACTTACAACTGACAAATAATTGTATCTTTTTTATATAAAATAACGATTTGTGTAATTATCCTGAATATAATGGTACTACTACTCTATGTGGGTGTTTGGGAAATGAGTTTTTTTTGTAGATTTTTTAGTTGTAGGATATTATTTGAGAATTTTTTTTTTTGTATTTGG